TAGGAAAACTGGCAGATAAGAGCAATTTGGAATTTGACTGCAACTGCAAATATTGTGTATGTCAAGTTTTAAAATTCCAATTTAATCTTTATATATTTATATCCATGCCAAAGGTGGACCAAAAGACGGTTCAAAACGTACATTTTTAATGCACATTATTTAATAAAATTTAACAATAATAAGTGCGACACCTGCGCCTTGGCTTTTATCTGTTAGTTTTCCTACTTAATTGTTCTTACTCTGAGCCTATTGCTGTTATTATCAAAATTGAAACAAAACATTGATGTGTCAGAACTAATGTGTCTTATTTCAGTATGTAATCCTTATGTTTTTGCATTACATTTATTTCCATGTTATTATCTTTATATTAGATGTATAAAATTGAATTTATATTTAAAATTGTTTGCTCTCTTTGAATCTTTATAAAACATTTATCGGTGATGTTTTCAAGAATTTTCTTATTGTATAGCGGGATTTATATATGATATATTATAAATCCAATTTAAATTTAAAAAAAGGATATTACCGAAATATTGCTGAAATCTTTTAGCAAGGTTGCATTTGAAATGATTGCGGACACATTGAAACAATGCAGAAATGTTGCAGACACAGTCGTGAAATATTTCTGTAATATTGTTGAAAGGTGGAATATTGCAGCAATGTATCAGAAATATTACATGCCGAGTGGGTTATTATTTATATACAGATTTTTTGTTGCATACCTGTGTTTTTCATGGGCTGCGTTCCGTTTCATGCATGATGCATTAGTTATCTTTGTTGTTTACCGAATATTAAATATGGATAAGTTAAGGTGCCTTTACATGGCAGCGTTAAGCGTCGAGCGTCTGCGCAGAAAAATGCGCAGAATATAAACGAGATAGATTCTAGGCTGAAATTAAGGTGCCTTTACATGGCAGCATTAAGCGTCGAGCGTTTGCGCAGAAAAATGCGCAGAATTTAAAAGAGATAGATTCTAGGCTGAAATTAGATTCTGCGCAATTTTCTACGCAGACGCTCGATGCTTGACGCTGCCATGTAAAGGCACCTTTAGATTCTGCGCAATTCTCTGCGCAGACGCTCGACGCTTAACGCTGCCATGTAAAGGCTCCTTTATGCATTATGCGCATCATGCATGAAACGGAACGCAGCCTATAGTTCACGTAACATATATTATAGATTTCCAGACGATCTATGCGCTTAATGCGTAAAACGAAACGCACCCCTTAAAGCCTATCACACACAAATTGGCATAGCTGCATATGCATAGCATAAGACCGTCTGGACCAATGAGCATCGAAATAAAATCGCCATATTGATTTACATAGCATGCTCATTGGTCCAAATGGTCTTATGCTATGCATATGCAGCTATGCCAATTTGTGTGTGATAGGCTTAAGAACAAAGGCGATCGGCAATCCAGATATATATAGATTAGTTGTTTTCCTTCACCTCTATTTTCTGTTGGCCAACCTGCTAATTTTAACCGTCGGTTCATCTAACCGAACTTGGTGAAATTGGCCCTGAGATGTAAACAGTCGCACATACAACATCTGTGAACCTTTATCTAGTCAATTTGAGATAAATGAGTATTATCACGGATAGCGCATTAAAATGAAGATTGATCGCTGAAGCGTCAATTAAACTCGAAGAGAGATCGAGGCTGGCGGAAAATAATTATGCCTCGGAAATTCTCTCGTGACAGTTCGATGAAGTAGAGGTGTCCCCTAGGTTATGTTGTTCCGTCAAAGTATTCGTAGCCTATCGACGAAGGACTCGTCGACCGCCACGTAGAGAAGAGTACGAGACTGTATAATATAACATGGGCGACCATATGGGCGACGATATCGGCGATAACATATTGATCCCGCAGGTCGACAATGTTATGTTGATCGACAGGAGCGATGGCAGTAACAAGAGCATGGATGGAACACTGTGCATCAGTAGTCATAATCTCATTTTATATTCCAGACAGGACGACGGGCAGGAGCTCTGGGTAGGGTACTGATATTACTGATATTACTACTGCTATTACTAAATAATTGGTTCAAATCAATGTCCAATTTCATCATGTTCTCTTTTCTCGCCAGTTGATGAACCGCAATATCGACGTCGTAGAGAAGAAACTGAACACTCAAAGTCCAGGCGGTAGCATAATATTAAAATGCAAGGACTTTCAAATTCTTCAGTTAGATATTGGCTCCACTAATGATTTAATCAATGCCATATTATCCATAGAAAAGCTGATATCATTAGGTAACTTGATCGAGCTATTTACATTATTCATGGAAATGGGATGTAATTCTGTCATTTACTTTGCAGATCAAATTCTGCAATATCCATTCTTTTTTCGACCACGGACAACCAACAACGCTATAGTGCAAATAGAGGACGGATGGACAGCGTTCGCGCCTGTCTCCGAGTGGTCCAGATTGTTGGCAGCACACGGGGACGAGTGGCGCATCAGTTACTTAAATAGAGACTACAAGGTGTGCAATTCGTATCCATCGGCTGTCATAGTGCCACGTCAGATGGACGACAAAATTATTATAGCTTCCGCGGGCTTTAGGGATGGTGGAAGATTCCCTGTTTTATGCTACAGACACGAAGGAGGGGTAAGTAGTGCATTGTGCTTCTAAAATCATAAAATAAAAATATATACTTGAGTGCGCACGATTCATCATAGAGTATACTGTTGAGGAGCAGTCAGCCTTTATGCGGTGCTACTGGTAAGAGATGTAAGGAGGATGAAAGACTTTTGAATGCGGTTTTAGGTCCTGGAAGACGTGGGTAAATATAACTGATATACGACAATCTAAAAAATCACAGCTATTATTTTCAGATACAATTGTTACTGTCATTGTGAATCTTACTTACAGTTACATAGTGGACACGAGATCCATTAGTCAGGCGCAGAGTGCCAGGGCCAGAGGTGGAGGCACGGAAATGGACACTGCTTATCCACAATGGCGGAAAGTACATAAACCAGTTCCTCGACCGCACGATTTAGCGGATAGTTTCAACAAGTTAATAGAAGCTTGCAATGATGTAAATAGTTCCACTTCACAGTGGCTGTCACGATTGGATAGCAGTGGTTGGCTAACCGCTGTACAAAGTGCTTTAAACGCAGCTTGCGTCACCGCGCAATGCTTGCATCAAGAAGTCGCGGCTGTGCTAGTGCATGGTGTGTGTATATATTAATAATAAATATTATATTTTGATATATATCGTGGAATTTATAAATTCGCGCGACTCGCGTTTACACTACCATCAGATCTTCATCTCTTTTGAAATATATATTAATCATGTAATAATAATTCTGCGTAATTTTGATTTACAGGCAGCACAGGTAGAGATTCTACATTAGTGGTAACTAGTTTGGCCCAGGCGATACTGAATCCCGATTGTCGGACGGTACGAGGACTTCAGGCGCTCATAGAACGAGAATGGTTGCAAGCGGGCCATCAGTTTTTCAGCCGAACCCGTTGTGGAGCGTATCAGTCCTCGAATTCGCAAAATCCAACGCACGCGCCGACCTTCTTGCTCTTCCTCGATTGCCTATACCAATTGCATCATCAATTCCAATTCAGTTTCGAGTACACAGTAGATCTACTTATTAGATTGTACAAGCACGCTTATTTCTCAGAATATGGTACATTTTTAGGTATGTAAAGAATAAATTGTATATTTCTGCCTCAGAAATTACTTTTATTTTGTTTTAATTCTATATCATTTAAAAAAATATATAATTTTATTTAACGTGCATACACAAATGTATTATGCGTTTCTACAGGTGATTCGGAAGCAGAGAGAATAAAATTACGGTTATCAGAAAGAACTTACAGCTTATGGTCGTATATGAATCAACCAGACGTTTTAGAACAGTGGATAAATCCGTTATATGAACCAAATCCTGGAGTGATCTGGCCCAGCGTCGCTCCAATCAGTATTAAACTATGGAGAGAACTATATCTCGCGCATACGAACGCAGCTTCGTGGGACGGTATGCTTTCATATGCGAAGCAGATCAAACAGAATCACACAGCGGTGCGCAAGGTGGCTGGACAGTTGCACGCGCAAATCAAGCAAGCGTTGGAAGAAATTCGATCGGATCCGGATATGTCGCGAGGAGACGCGGACGGTCAGGAGGAGCATCCTCGTATTGCGCAATTGAGTCTAGAGTCCCAGAGCACTTGATATAGATTTGTAGAAACCGGGAAAATCTAAAGTCCGCGCTGCTGTTCAACGATCTTGTCAATATGCCTTCGATTATACAATACCACATTAGCTCATAAGGATCAACGGTCTTTGCAAATAGCCTGCCACGAATGCCGAAGCCTTCGTAATCGAGTCTCGATTAATTCTTTTTCTTAATCTCTCTCTCTGAGATCTAAAAAAAATATATATCTGTTTGTCTATAAAAAATGGCTCTACGGTTTTATAAAGCGGATTATCTTCGTTGATATATAAAAGTCAATCTTGTATATATCTATATGTGCGCAAAAAATATTTCCCATAATCGACGTTATATATATACATCACATGATCTACGCCTGTATAGTAAAATTTGCATCACTAAAAATGTGTTCTATGTAAACGATTCAAACAAGACGAGAGATGAATTGTGATATTTTTTATTTTACAAAATACATAATTTGTATCATATGTAATAGCTTTAGCAATGTATTACACAAAGTATATATTACATATAATAATTTATCAATTATTATAATATATATTAATATCATTTTTTTCTCTATATATATATACATGTATAATTTATTTATCCAAAGGTAATATAAGCAAATAAAAATGAACTGTATATTATAAATCCACCATTAAAGAGCATAATTGTGAGGGTAAAACTGGCGGATTTTTCATTCGAGCGTACAGAGAGTAAAGGAAATCTCGCTTGTGTTCGGGGGTACGGACGAGTTTTTACAGTTATTCGAGCAGGATGGCGGGAGGGCGGCGGACCAAAGAAAGAGAGAGAGAGAGAGAGGTTAAGGGCGGGATTGTTGCCGCTGCTGAGGTAAAAGGGGGAGAAGGCTGGAGGGGAAAGCGCGGCAGGTGTTCACACACAAAGAAACTGAAAGGGAATCCCACGGCCATTGGCTCCGCACTCAGGAATGCATCGAGTTTCGTCGGCATTCGCATTTCGCGATCAAATATATCCATGTACACATACATGCGTCGTCTTAATATAGTCATAAAACGAAGAGAAAAATTAATATGTATGATATTAAATGTATTCGAGTTGCGTAAAAATGTGTGTGTGTGTGTGTGTGAGAGAGAGAGAGAGCGATCAGTCATAAAAATTTTTAAGTAATAATAAATCACACGTTATAATCCTAAAATAAAAGTGTGTAGAATCGCGTCCTGTAACTCGAAAACTTATTAATCTCGGAGCATAACGGACGAATCTTCCACGAGCTCCTTGAATCCTCGAGATGAAGAAAAATCCGTTACATTTCGATTTCTAAAGCCGCGCTTCCATCACGTCGCGCGAACCGAACAGCGATACGGATCTTATTTGCTCCCGCGTTTATGGCGCGTGGAAATCCAAACTCCATCGTCGACAAAAAGTACAAAGGAGAAGCCTCAAACATATACGCAGGTATAGATATATATGCATATATACTCTCTCGCGCGCGGAAAGTCGCTAAATATTCCAAGGACTAGAACGTCCTTCGACGCGTTCGCGACGCCATTTAGGCATTGTGTCTCGGCAGCGCGCGCGAGCGCGAGAGCAAACGAGAGAGCGCGCGCGCGCGGAGATTATTATACCGGTTTCGAATCTGCGCGATGGAGATCCGTGAGAAATCGCGACCTCGCGTCTGTGCGACCGTTATCGTGTACTCGTGGTAAAGTACCACTACACGCAACTTTGGTATATATGCGGAATGTTTTTTTTTTTACATATATATATGTAATATATCTCTTTTTGTCTTTCTCATTTATCTCGCGATATCATGTTTCCCAGAAGAGGCTTCTCCGAGACGAGTGAGAGAGAGAGAGAGAGAGAGAGAGCGAGAGGAGAAACAGGTGTCCACCACACGCGCGCACGTTGGTCGCTCCTCGTCTCCCGAGGTCCAGAGGACAGGTCCAGTATCCTTGGATGAGTGTGGATCTAGTCACGCATACAATCGTGAAACGTGGACTGAATTCAAACCCATCCAGGGCCGCTGGACGGGCGATGGATGACGGCAACGGGACGACTCTTCCCTCTTCTCTTCGACGCCAATCTTCCTCGAGTTGATCTTCGCGGAAATTTCCTCGTCTTCGTTCTCACGTCCAAGGGGGACACAAACGACGTTGACGGAGCCGGAAAGCAGAGTGATGCGTTCGTTCGGGTATGGCATTAGCGGCCTCACTTGACGGTGGGGGGCTTCATCGGAGAAGGGGGCTCGCGCCGCTCTCCTGTCTTCCCCACCTTCTCTTCGGGGTCCCGGCGATCTCTCTTTGTCGTTCTCGTCCCATCGTCTTTCTCCCTTTCCATCTCTTCTCTGCTTCGCAGGCAAGCACTTACCACCCCGGTGGGGCCCTTACGAGGAGGGGAGAGAAGGGTCGCTTTTTCCCAAGGCGTCCGGGGATCACAACAAAGAAAGATGCGATTTTCGAAGCGAAGAGTGGAGAACGAAGCGACCGCTGAGAGACGTTTCTGGATAGCAGCCTGTGTATGTTGGTATGAGAGCGATAGAGAATGTCTCTGTCTGTCTCTCTCTCTTTCTTGTTGTTAGAGAGGAGACTTATACCGGAAGGCGATGCCGTTTTCTCGAATAAAACGTGCTCGCTCGCTCGCTCCGCTTCCGCGAACCAGCGAGATGAATGCCGGGATTCTCTTTTTTTAAAAAAAAGTAGTATAATCCTTATACATAATCGTATTATAGTCATCTCAGTAGCGTCAAAATATGAATTCAGCGAATACGTGATTTCGAGTCCTGATTTTGTGAAAAAAAAGAACACTGCCGAGATGAGCACCACTGTCGAGAACAAAACTGCTATAAAGCCGGCTTTAAACGCGTTTTTTTCTTACCTGAAATGAAAATTTGAAGAATTTTAGTCGCGTGTTCTATACTATTGTAAACGAAAAAAAAATCTTGGTTGACAAAAATCCACAAGGTTGCGTCTTTCCTGTTTTCTTAAATAGGAATTTTATGTCAAACGTTTCCCGACGCTACAAATTATAGATATCAGAAAATAATGCATTTATTTTATTTTTCAAATAAAAATATTTAAAATAAAAAGTTGAAAAATTACTCGAGGAATTTTGCTTTATTTCACTGAAGAGTTGAGAAAGATTTGAGAATTGTAGAACATGTATAAAAGTTTCTTTGGAAAGAACAGCAAATGAAATTTGAAAATGTTCCTCTAGTAATATATTTCTTTAGCTCTAAAGATTTAAGTTTAATGCGATTTCTTTTGTACGCTATATGTCCTATCGTATTTTGGATGTTCGAATATGACGTTTTATATTGGCGAATTCTCAGGTATAGGATGTCGATTGTATTGCGCAATAGCGAGCGTGACCTTGAACTTCATCTCTTTTTATCTTTCTCCCACAGCATCCTGAGAGAAAAGCCATCGCAGCGGTGATTCGTCCAAGGAGATGCGCCGTCACTTTGTCAATTCGTATTCAAATAATACAGAGGTTTGCACTTTTATTTTTGACTAGAGATCCAAATAATAATATAGTTATAATTTCAATCGGTTGAATTTTCAATCTTAAAAATATAACTACGAATGTGTCTTGTCTTTTATTTTCTAATTTTTATTTCCAATTTCGTGCTTTTCAGACAATTCAAATATCTCAAAAAATTGCATTGTTTATTTCTCGTACTTTAAATACGCTTTGCATCTTGAATATTATTTTATTATCACAAATCACGTGATGAATATCATACACGAATATTTTAATTTCTAGATTCGGTTGCGAACCGCTTGGGACTCTAAAGGGGGCCACTAGAAACCGAGAAAATTCTCGTGATAACAAGAAAGGAAAGAAAGGCAATACACAGGTAGACGTTAATCCAGGAAAATGCTACGGACGTAAAGTAGGACACAACGGCAGTTTTCGTAAATAAAAAACTTATTCTCTCGTATAATTATGAATCCCAAACATTTTATGTGGATGAAATATTCCAAAATCTTTAATTTACAAGAAACGCACAAAAAAAGACACGTAGTCAATGTAGAACAATTTCTCGTGTAAAAGAAAAATCGCAATTATCGATTAAAAATGATTTAAATTAATTATTTTTTTTTTGGATTAGATAAAAATTGATATCTTTAAATTAGAATATTTTCTAGAGAGAGTGATTAGATTATAGATTATAGAATCCCGAGAATATATATCATGACTTCGAAACTTGAGTTTGACAGGAAAAATCGGAGCACCGCTGTCGAGAGGTAAGATTCTAAAGACGGTTGCAAATAGAGAAGAAGAGGGATAGCGAGGGAGAGAAAGAAAGAGAGAGAAAGAGAGCGCTAGGTCATGGAAAGCGAAGGGGAAGGAGAAGCTCGCAAATTGTCGTTTCCATAGTGATTTATACGTCGAGCTCGACCTGAGGTATCTTGAAGCGAAAAATCAGTGCAAAACTGATCTCTAAAAATTCGACTTAAGCGTGCTCTATTGGTCGCAAAGCGAACCTCCAAGAGAATATATATTACGATAATATCGAAAATTAAAATCTTCAGAAAATGATTGCAATGTTATCTAACGAGAATGGTAACTAATTTATTTATCATCTGAAGATAAGTTTATTTTGCTTTGCGAGTTGCAAAGAATCGATATAGATGTAAAAAGGAAAGTCTAGTGATTTAACTATAACGCTACCACAACATTGAGGAAATTGATAAAGTCTCTTTATTTTGTATACTTGACAAATTTTAAGATAAGTTTATTTTGCTTTGCGAGTTGCAAAGAATCGATATAGATGACTCTGGTCGTATTAACATTGAGGAAATTGATAGTCTCTTTATTTTGTATACTTGACAAATTTCCATTTTTAATATTGTATACATTTTTAAAAATACACTTAGGATTGAAATTCTACTCTATTCGATCCATCTTTACTGAGTAATTTTGTCATCTATTTGTTTCTCTTTGACTCGTTAATATATATATGTTTTTGATTGATTTTGATCGAGCAAGTCACTTCTCAATTTTCATTTAATTTTGGTTTCATTCTAAGTTTGATTTACCAATCGATTTATTTTGTTTAAGAATACTCTTTATTTTTTTAGGTAAAGGAGAAAGAGAATTTTAGAGTAATATCCTTTCTATAAAGCGACTGACACGCACGCTCGTGTGTTTGTAGCAGGGCGTTACTGCAAGACGATGCCTCGATGACTAGCGACTAGCTTTCCTTTTGCTTCGAAAGACGAAAGAGAGAAGACATATAGTAGCATGTATGAAGCAGCGTTCCTTGCATCCCAGCAAACTGGTATTTTACCAACCAGCAATCGTGCAAAACGACGCTCCAATAATTCAATGCTATTCGAAGCTAACGGAATGCCGTTATCATCTTCAACCGCGATCGCGTTACCATTAATCGATTGTAATTAGCGGATCGAGTTTGCGAAGATGATATAATTGCATCGCAGTATTTAGAAGAAAAAAGAAAACTCTGCTAAATCTTTTCTAAACTGCACGGAGACGATTGCGAACTCAGAAAGAGAAGCTTTGTCTCCGAATTCCCCAAAAATGCGTCAATATGCCGTTCGTTCAAAAGCGAAACATCCATGAGAGAAGATATACTGACGAAAGGCTCCAGAGCATCGCCGGCGCCTTCATAAGCGAGAAAATTCAGTGAAAGAGTCACTTATTGATGCAGTGACAGTGCTTTCGAGGTTAGTAGACCGCGCGCGGCGCGAGTCTCGCTGTAAACTTTAAATCGCCATTTACACGACCGTCTCTCCGAGCGTCTTTTTGTAAATATACGCGCTCATCGGCGTAGCTGTTGACTTTTCCTGAAAAGCAATGACCATGTGTCGACCACGCGATTTATGCGATGACGATCCACGCTCGAGAGATTCATCTCCTCGACGTGGATGAGATACCACGTGGAGCTATATCGATGAGAAACCGTATTGTCTCTTCAGGTATTCCGGTAACGGAAATTTAAAAGCAGCGCGAGTTCATGATAAACACGCGCGCGCGATTTTGAGATTGGAGTTTTTAAAATATTGGCAGGAGGAGGGAAGGGGACGAGTGTTTCTCTCCTGGGCAAGAATACGAATCTTTCTTCGTGTTCAGGAGTAACGTCGCAACCCAGGCTACGTCACTGGCGGGGTCCTCGTGACACAGATCAACGACGGCAACTATAACGGTATCCGTCGGCGTGACCTACTCTCGGCGAAGTCGCGCTCTCTCGGTTCTCCACCTTCGTCTTCTCTTCGTTTTGCGTCTTTCCCCTGGACTCTCCTTTCGTCCAGGGCCGAGTATTCAGTAGGGTCTGTGTGTAAAATGTATATTAGTCGATTTTACATAAAGATTACACCAAGCTCTATCAAAGAGATGATTTCCTACTCTATGGGTCGAAAATATTCATCATCTTCCATTTGGAATTTGTAAAATATGCGATTCAATGTTTCTAAAAAGATTACATATCATCGCCCTGATGCTATTTAAACATTTAATTCTATTTCGTAAATTATCTAAACAGGAGTATCGGACGCTTGCTGTCTTCTGGTCGCTTCGTCTACTCTTCTGTCCGACCGGAAACCACTGGAATCAGGACGTGGGCGAGGCGAGATGATCGGCCGCCACTGCTTACCGTATAGCATCTTCTCTCCCGTACGCGGTGGGCTACACTTTTTCTTCCACGTGAGAAGCATTGGTACGGGTCGTATGGGCGGACGACCGGACCGGACCGCGGCTGATTACGGACAGTAATGAAAGCGGCCTGCTTGCGCACGGTGGGTAGATAGGTAGATGCGTGTTGTCGTCTGTCATGTAGCCGCGCGCCTTTCGCACCTTCTGCCGCGCCGCACCTTCGTCATCGAAGCCGTCAATGAGATCGACAGCCGCCGCCGTTGTTGTTGTCGTTCCTCGCGCGTAGCAGGGTGACGTAGCCGAGACCTTGCGAGGAAGATTCGAGTCGTCGATTGTCACGGTTCAACCGCGGGTCCAGCCGCTGGACCAGCGAGTTATGAGAGCGATCGCGCCCTTCGTCTTTCAGGTGAGCTCCTGTTTCAGCTCTCTCAACTCTATTCCCTCCCTTTTCTGTGAAAATAAGTGAACAAAGTGTTTTCGTCGCGTGTTAATTTGCTTGTAAGAGATGGATGAATCGAAAGAAGATGAGAGGTATTCGTTTCTATGGGATTGATTGATTTATAGGTTGTTTGGTTTTAATTGTCATTTGATTCTACGCCTATCATTATTTCTAATTAATTCCGCTTAGTCATTTAAATAATTATCAAATCTGTGTGAAATATGAAACAAACTTATTATAACGTGTGAATTTCAATTCGAACTTTTTTTCTTTATTTTTTCAATCTTTTTTTCTTCCAAGGATTAAAGTGAACAGATAAAGATAAAAAAACTGGAAGAGGTTCAACGATCTCTTAATGTCGATCTCTGGTTCAACAGAACCGAAAGCTTCTTTAATCACATATTAGAATCTTTACTCATCTTTTTTCAAGTATCAATTTGTTTATTAATCAATTTAATGGATTTAGTTTTATTAATCGACATTAATTTTTATTAAGAAGAGAAAACAAACGCACAAATAAAATCGTTTAGCTTGTCTAATAAAGTTTTTACTTTAATTTCTACACTGGCCCGATATGTCACTTTAATCTTTTTGTTTACATTCGAGTTACTTTTTTTATTTTTAAACTGCGATGAATTTTTCGAGTTTTAATTTATATTGCGTTTTTTCGCCACTGAGAAAGATCTCAAATCTGGAGATCGAAACGTCTGGATTTAGCACATATGATATTATAATATAATTAATAAACGCACACATATTGTCAACCGCGGTAGCTCGTTAATTGGCCTTCTTGATTTCAAGTTATAAAATCATTCAATAAAAATAGATTCAATTACACAGTAAGGTATTTGACCATTTTTGTTGCAGGTCATTGCATTGCAGTTGACGAAATGTCAAGGCAGCGGTGGCGGGCCGAGCACGTTCGGATACGACGCGTCTTCGGCCTGTAGCAAGCCGTATTCGCGCGCTGGACGCGCGCACCATGAGGATCTACCCTGTGACTTTCGCCGACAGAATTGGTGCACGATCGCCGGTAGCACATACCCTTGGTACTATGTCCATTTGCGTATACGTCTCTTCCGCTCCTAATGATTGATATTCTTTCAACTTTCGCCCGTCCGACATTTGTACGCTCGTGTGTATGCGTCCGCGCGCTCGGTAATGTGGCGAAAGTTTCAGCATCACATGTTGTCCAAAAGTAAAATTAGGATTGAGCAAATAAATATCTAATTTAGAATTGAAATCTAAAATTCGAAAGCAACACGGTTAATTTTAAAATTTTTTAATCCTCTTTTTTCCACAATCACACATTTCTCTATTTCGAACATAAAATATAACTTTAACATATCTTAATTTCGAGTAATTAATTCTGTTTTTATTTTGTCAGTCCCGTATAAGTTAAAGTAGAGAAGTAAGAGAAAAGAAGAAAATTCTGTACATGGAAGTACAAAAAATATATGATCTTAAATTACAACATTTCATGAAATACGTTGATTCTATTTTTTAAACATTAATGTTCTATATATTGTTGTCATATTACTCGTATTGTCTTTGTTATTACTTGGAACAAGATATATGATATAATTTTCACATTAGTTAGACTTTTATGTAAGGGAAAATCTGCGTTATTTATCAATTTGACCAAGATTATGCCCTGTTGCTCATTTACAGGCACGCAGTACGTCGATTCGTGCAAGAGAATCAGGGATTGATGAGACGCATGTACGGCGACGAGAGTTATATCAATATTCTCCGAGCGGAATTCGAGAAGAATGATATTGAATTCAAGTACGACGAGTACCATCATCATTTCGCCGATGATATAAAGTAGGTTTCCTTTGTCTTACAATTTCTTTCGACAATATTTTATTACTAGTTCTTTTTCCCATTTTTAAATATTTCTGAATTACTTTAATATATTTAAAGTTCTTTTTTTAATTTATCTTGTGGGAATGAGTATAAATTATCATATCGCGTGCTGTGCTTTTCAGACAATTCCAATATGAAGACGATTACGAACTGATCGACGACATTCAGTCGAAGCTTAATGCAGACGAGGACGAGAGTCGCGGATTCACCAGCCGCTCTTTCAACGATCCCGTCGCCAAATCCCGTCGACTGAACAAATTTCCGAAGCTCAGCGAATACACCAGGCCGCACTTCAGGCCTACTGAACGGACCACCAGTTCGACTGCCTCGAGCACGAAGATTCTCTCTTCGACTTTATCTTCAACGTCGACCACGACCAGTGCCACGACTTTCGATACGCATACATCATCCTCCACAACGCCTGTGTCTAACACCACTGTAACGAACATGGACGAGAAACAGGAAGAGATCAAGATTCAATCTCTCGTAACATCAATTTCTCCAACGTTTTCAAACACCACTGTCGAGATAGCTGATGATAGTGATGTTGCGGTGAATAACACGACGACGACGGCGTTGCCGAGCATCACTGTGGCTCAAATCGTCAGAGAACAGAATTTTAGTATTAACGAGATTCCCGGGCAGAACGATAGGATCGATGAGGATCTGGAAGAACTTGGAGAAGTGATAGCACATTCAGAAGAAACAACGATCAAGGAGGATACGACTTTGGAATTGGCCGAAACGACGACGACGAGTGTCTTCGTCTCCACGGAATCGCTAGTCGATCGAGATGAGGAAGCGGAGGTACTTGACGCTGCTACGAAGACAACCGTACACGAAGAAATAATAGCTGCAGCAAGCCACGACCAACAACAGTTTAGACCGCGTCCCGAGTATCGACCATCGAGCGTGGCCGAGTCATCGGCAAGTGTCAGTGGACAACTTTATCAGGACGTCGCTGCGAAGGATCATCACGAGCAACCAGTCTTGAAGCTTAGAGGAGTGTGAGTATAATAATTCCACATACTTATTCATTCTTATAATAAAAATTCTAGCTTATTAAATTAAACAAAGAATTAAAATAAAATATATATTTTTTTATTTAAAGAAATTTTAATTAAATTTTTATAAAAAGATTTTTATATAAAAATTTATTTAGATTTTTAAAGAGAAGAAATTATATATCAAAAATTACATATAACGCAATTAACAAAGTTTTTAGAGAAGTGGGGAAAAAAAAGATCAAACTAGAAATAATATATAATTAATATTAAATATGAGAGACTTACAAGGACGTAAATTCATCTAATCGCTAACTTTTACTATTTGTGTAGAAATGCTTGCCCCGTCAAGGAAGAAGTAGTAGCACCATTTTGGGCCAACAATACTCGTGGCGAAGTCTTAGCTCTTCTCAATCTCTATCCCTTCGAGCAGTACGTACATTGGGAGAAGTGCACGTAAGTGTCATCGTTCTTGGAAATATTAGAAACAAAAAATAAATCCATAAAAAATATTATTTGTCAGCTACTTAAAATGATTTTAAACTGCCTAAAAATGTAAAAAAGAATCTTGTGTATGATATGCCAGGATTATACATCTAGATCGACAAACACGGTTTTAAAATGCTTAAAATCTCAAATAAGATTTAAAATGACTAAATAATAAAATGTTTTACCCCTTAGACTGAATCATCTACTTCTGATCTATGAATAAAGTATTTTAGTACTAGAGAAAAACTTTTCAGCAAGTGTTTTGTCCATTCTTCATCGAATTCTTACTTCTCATTCATTTTTTATTTTTCTGTCCCTTGAATTTCCGATTGTCGATTGTAGGCACGAGAACAAGCAAATGTACTGTCGTGACGGATGCAGATGCGAACAGCAGTATCGGCTGCACCGGCTGCTGGCTTACGATCCCAACAACGAATGTCGCGGAATCTTCAGCGATTGGTTCAAGTTTCCCAGCTGCTGTGTCTGCCGCTGTTACGATCTACCATTAGAGTTTCGAGTGACATCGCGTTCACCACGCACCTCGCGCAAGCGACGAATCAAGGTGCAACCATCAACGCGGGACCGTTATCAGTGATCCAATTGTTTTCTCGCTGGCTGATCGCCAAATAACACAGCGTAAGTGTGAGAACGTCCCGCTAGATAAAATCGTATGCAAAATTCTAAAAAATGCAGTACAAATCAATTCTCTAATTGGAAGAATCTTCTCTCCATTCAATTCAATTTAGAGATTGTTAATATTTATTACTGTTAACCTTTTGTTGAAATATCTTTAATTTTTTTTACATGTACCAAATATTTTTCATATATTGAAGTTTTATATGCAAAGTATATATGTTTATATGTGTTTATGTAAGATTTTTTTGCATATTTATAAATATTTATGAAAAGCATATTTATGTATCGTTCATATTATTTACTATGTTATAGTAAAATAAACTAGAACAATGATATTTGTAAACGAAAGAATATCATCCGAGAAAAGTACGATTAAATTCTAACAAAAGAAAATTCATGCTCTTATACATATGTGCGCATGATAGATAAAAAAATTTTCTTTTTTTTTGTTGTTAGTACATTTTCATTTATTATAATCTATCAAAGTGATTTGTGCAAGATTTCGCTTTAATCCGACAGCTATTTTTGCAAACACAATATACGATAAAAAATAATAAAATAAAATAAAAATAAAATCATCCTTGTTTGAATCATTCATATAAATTCATCATTATAATCATTCATATAAATTTTTATTCATGAAAAGAAGTATTAGTTCATGAAAAGAAAACAATATATATATATGTGTATATATATAATTTAAATCATTGGAATATATTCGCTGGTTTGAAAGTATATATAGACTTTATCTTTTAACACGATTATCGTATATTTAGAATGATATCAAATGTGTGTAATAGAGGAGAAAGTGCGTATATATTAAAGTAATTTAAATGAATAAAATAATACTCTTATATACTCTTTGGCAAATGTTATACTAATCGATATACTTTTTGAGATTTTAAGATCATGTACATGTATTTATTTCGTGCATTCGCGCGTCACAGCGCTAACAATAAGCTAAAAATACTTAGCGCTATAATACTATATATATTCTTAATATAATTGTTGTAGTACAAATAAGGCTCGTGAATAAAATACACCATTTTTATACCACTCATATTTTTCTATTTTCGTAATCGTTATTTGTGCATTATTTAATAAATATTCTCGTAATTTATAAACTTAAATTATTAATAATGGTTGATCTATTCTCACAACTTACACTTAAGTTATATTAATAATAATTAATCAATAGAAGTCATGCGCACACTGGTGCGTGAATTAACCCGAAATAAAATAAAATAGTATGCTCGTTTCGTTATATGTATATCTGACTTTATTTTTCTTACTTCCTTTACATATCTCTGACAACGTTATGTGTCTTACAAAGAAGAAGGTTCACAAACAGTAACGATCTTGAAAACGTTAATACTTTTTTCTGTTTCGGGCATTAGCGGGTGGCGCGGTGAATACAATAATACCGATTATATTATATATATATCTTGTCATACACATTCATTACATGGTATTATAAACGTCTGATTATTCGTATCCCGTCGTAATATATATGTATATATGTACATATTATATATAGTACATATACAGGATATTTCGTATTCGATCAATACGCAACATTCTGTAATATTTACGCATAGAATATACGCGTTTTTACGTATGTGTAATCGTGTAATAACGCATCATATAGTAGTAAAGAGATGTGTGTATATTTATATAAATACCAGCTAAAACATTTGGTATCAAAACTATTGCAGGAAGATGAAAATAAAACGTCTTCGAAAAGTACATCTCACTCGTCAATGCTCTTCTTGTGTTAGAGTTTAACAGAGAATATCGTATTAATTATGCATAATAAAAGGGAGCCATTTAAGCCTCTTACTTTTGAATTTATGCCGAAAGTTGCTCATCCGACTCTTTAAAAAAAAAAAAAAAATAGTAATAATAATTTAAGGAAATAATAGAATGTAAAATGTGAGTAACAATATAAGACAATCAAATTCATAAAATAAAATCACTGTTATATTGTATGAAAAATTTTCGTTCTTTTTTTTATTTTTTTATTAGAAATATGGCAGAAGAGAAGTCAAAGAGGGGAAGACGCGATTCTATAATTCTAATGAGAGAAAGACGTTTCATTTTCGACGTATAATATTTAATTGGGACAAAATATCCCGTTCGATATCTCAAGTACGTCCAATTTCTTCTTCGCTGTATGCATCAGCGCGAAACAGTTTACTTTTATAGTCAGATTGTCTACACACTAATTTCGCATTCCATCAAGAGTTGCAACGTCACACTCTGCGGAAGACTATATAACCAATTTGTATAAAAAATATCTCTATTTCTTGGCACAATCACAAATCTCTGTTCGTACTGTGTGTTCGCATTCGTATAATGCATATTGATCATTGCACTTTTTTGACGAGTTCTATAAATTGCTTACGTATTATCGAGCTGCCTATTATTTGACGTCTTTACTCTTATCCAGCCAATAGAATTAATAATGAAAAGTTTCTTGAAATTATGTTACATACATCACTTTCGCAGTTATAAAAATCATTTGTTGATTGATCGCAAACTGAATAATCGCTTTATTCAGATTTCTCTTCAAAAAGCCAAAGAGAGACGCGCGATAAAACGTCTTTTTAAGAAATTATTACACACTATACGTAACGTCAAATATTTATATATATATGTAAGTTTTAAATATCGGCTTGCGTGTCATTGCTCCATTTGAGATCCATATAAGAATATTTTATGTTATTTGTTGCTATTTTATGTATATATTGACATGACGCATAGTGTGTATATATCTTTACAAATTTAATCTTTCCCAATAACGTATACATTAATTTGAATATACCCTCAACCTTAAAAATATATTCATTAATTGGATAATGAGAAACTCTTTTTGAAAACTTTTCAATACAAACGCAAAAAATATTTTTTAATTATATTGCACACATATATGATATTAATTTACCAAAACTAAATAATTAAAATTTTTTGCATGCATTAACATAAAAATTTATAATTTGCATTTTTTTTTTTGTGAATATACTTTGTACCTAAATAGATCACTTATTTTATTATGAAGCAAAAACTCTTTAATAATATTTTTGCATATATAAACGAATTATGTAAATGCTCCATATACTTTATCATTATCGTTTATATCGTTATTATATAATTTATATGTTCGCTTTCAGAAAAATGCGCAATATTTTTTTTTTTAATTTGGCATTTATCATAAGAAAGCGAAACTTTTTTATATCATCGTTATAATAATGTCGAATTCTAGTAACTCGCGTATATAAGTCCATTATTTTTAATATAAAATCTCATAACTGTAGATATATACGTTGCTATCAACTATGCTATCTGTGAAATACGCGTCGAGAAGATTGGATAATAATTTATAAACATTAGCAGGAACGATGAACTCGTCGTAACTTCGACGATATGTGTGAGCAGTTGTTCAAAATTTTATTACATTCCTTCATCTATGTAATAACAAGGTCGGCAAAAAAAGTGACATCTCGTTATCGAGATTTTGCGCGGCTGCGATGTTTCACTCTTATTGTTATCATCGTTTCTCGGATTACCGATCACTGTTATTAATTACCAATAACGTGATGATACTTTACGTAGCACGAACCCCGTATCTTTCCCCCAATCGTACCAAGTTAATTGGAGTGGAATATTTTTGCAAAAAGTACACTCCAGAGTTAATCGACCATACTTCTTTCCTTCTCCTCTATAATTTGCGACGATATTTACGATTAAAATGGATACACATAAAGAAAAGTTGATTTCTTGGCTTTCTTCTGCTTACAAAAAAAGGGATGAAGACAGAAATATATCAGCACACTGGGATTCTGAGTTACTGGGATATAACTGTGGTTAATATAAAAATCAAAGAGTCTTATCAAACATTTGTGTTGTTTCAGAAGATGGTTGTACCTTAGAAAATGTCAGCGAAAAAAATTCTCAAACAACACAATAGATATCTAAAAATTGTCGAAAAAGATCCTAAGTTTGCTCACAAATCTTTCCAGTTATATACTGTGCTTCTCGCGCATAAACATTCCTGTCTTTAATAATTTTTGTCTCATCTCTCGTTACTTTCGCCTGCAAAAGTAATGATATATCTAGATATAATTGCAATACCATATATATCCTTCTCTTTCCATTACGCAAGTAATACCTCGCAATTTATTTCTAATCCAAGGACAGCTATCTTTTATGTCGACACGTGAGAAGTGAATGCACCCTGCATATCCGCTTAATAATTGAGTTAATATTATAGTCGTGAAAAACTTCTCATGTACAGCATAATCTCCGGATAAGTTCGCCTCGGATAACTTTGGTATTCTCTAATCATTCCTAGTATTTCCCGTATATTTCTTCTACGTATTTTCACCCACACTAATATCATATCATAATGGGCAAGACACGTGATGGCGAGTTTAATCGCGCATGCTTGAGCGTAAACACAAGTGCAAATTGAGCAGTCCCATTCGTTATAGGGGAGTTACCGAATAAATAACTGTTTCTCTGAAATTTCCCCTCATACTGCCAAACTTATCCGGAACCTACTGTAAACAAACAACAGTTTCACGCAAAAATTACGAACATGCTAAATATATGTGTCAACCTTCGGATTATGCATTAATTAATATCACACTTCAAACTACGAACAAGTATTTTCACTTATTGTTAGTGTAAGAATCCGTGGCAACTGGGCAAAATAATATACCACTTTCGTATAAAAACAGCAATATTTCTTAAGTTTCTCTCCTTACTAATTCCAAAAAATTCTAATCGAAAAATAATGCTTTGCTCTTTTGACTGCAGCAATAATACTATAAATAAAAACGCATCATTTCTAATGGTTAATATAATTTAGTAAGTGTACACACACACACACGCACATATCGCATGTACATCATATATATATATATATATATATATATATATATATATATATATATGTACATGCGATATTTAACAAAAATATTAATTAACGGTATATGTTCATTAATGTGGAAAATATATAATAGATATCAGATTAATACAAAACAGAAATTAATAATCCAAACATCATATTTTTTCGATCACTAATCAGTAGTACCTTTACATAATAAGTTTCTTTATAACATCATTAAGACATTTGAATAATTCTCTTTTCGCGATATGTTCTCCATGCATCTCAAGATACAAAGACAGAGAAAAAAGAAAGTTACGTGTATCATTTTGCCCATTGTTTACGGTAATATGTGTAAATATAAAGTCGATATAAACTGATAGGACAGATAGACAGTACGGCGAGGAGATAGTGACGCTATAGAAACAACGGCGATAGACAGCACTGATTATTATTTATCGTATATCCGACGATTGCAGTGCGATCGAGGCAGGTGGCAAGTCGTAGAATACTAATAAAGATCAGTCGTGACATGTGCGAAGCCACATTAAGAATAATAACGCGGCTTCACGATTGTTGCTCTCAGCGTGAACGAGGGCAAGAAATAAATCGAACTCTATGAGATAATACTCATGGAACAGCTTTTGCAATTCTTACTGCGAAGGATTATTGAATGATTGCTGTATTAGCTCTTGATTCGATTAAGCTAGTCACAACCGATCAATTGCGAGCCATTGCAGCTTAATATGACATATTCGTGCTGGATTCGAGCTGTCCTCAAAATCACTGATACGATACGGATATCTCTGTTATATATGCGCATACATTTAGTTAATTTTTTGCATTGAAAAACCACGTGCTTAAAATGAAAAATATTGAAAGTGCATTGGTATACACATTTGTGTATAACATATATATTTGTATGTATAAATATTGCCCAAAATATGTGTGTTATATATATATATCGCGTATATGTATAATGTATAATGTATATGTATATATGTAAAAGGATTGTTAAGTTGATATGTCATCGAAGGAGTAATATGCTATCTGTATCACAGTGCTGTGATTGAGAGAGTAATCATAACAGCGTTAAGTTTCTTTTTTTTTTTCGTTCTCCTCGTTCTCCGCCTTTGATCCGCATCTCGAGTGTTTCCGATTATTCCTCGATCTTTACATACTGAAATTTTGTTTTCGCCATACGATAAACATTATTCGAAAAGAGAGAGCAATTCAATTCCCAGTTTAAAAGAGACAATTTTACGTATGATATATATGTCATATACTTTACTCTCAAACTCGTAAAAAAAAAAACGTGCTCCTCCGCCCAGAAAAATTTCTCCTTAAAAATCGTTCGTTGGTATATAAATTTTTACGTTCACCATCTCTGAAAGTTTCTGTATTCGCGGTAAAGTGTGATTCCTTTTTTCATTTTTCATTGAAAAGACATCAACCAATGTCTTGGTCCCTATACACATTTAAATACACAAGCGCGTCCTACACGCGCGCGAAACATTTGAAGAAAAACATTGATTGCACAGGGCAAGTACTCTCCCTGAAAATATCAAAAAGTATATATATATATATATTGCTTCTCTGTATTAAATGCGCCACACACGCTATTATAATGCAGTACCAGTAAATTTAATCACAATCCTTACGAGTTAGCGTTAGTATCCCTTTAGTTTTTGGTCTCGCTTCTAACTTATGTCTAGATATTGTCTCGTTGGAAAACAAAATGTTTCGCGTAAAACCAACAAGCTCGCTTTTCGCGTTTCTCAGCATTTCTTTGTTCTTACTTTTCATTATACGATCCGTGACAGATATATATCTCTAAATCCTCGTTCACGTACATGATTATTATATCGTATTATCACAAGTACTGAACTGCTTCTAATTGCATTATAGAAGATGATTCGCAATGAGAGAAGCTGATTTCTCGTAATGTCGAAAAGGTTTCAAACAAAGAAGAAAATGTTTCATCCCTTTCGTATATCGTATATAGATTTTACGGATACACCTCCTCACATGTGTATTCTTATTTGTCTCGTAAAAAAAATTACGCCCAAATTACTATCCTCAAACTAGTCGGACGTATCTATCAAATTATGAAAAAAATAACAGTTCAGGTACAGATACGGTTAACTCATACTTACTAAATGATTGTAAATTATATAATTATATTGATTTAAAAATATTTCCTAAATCATATATATATATATATACGCCACAATAAAAATGTATCCGGATCTAAATACAATTGTCGGTCTGGAGATTACGATGTGGATATTCGGCGCGGCCGGTCTATTAGGTGCAATCTTCGCCCTAACGATATTGCCGGAGACTCGAGGACGTAGTCTCGACGATATCGAAATGAAGTTCTCCCGCAAGTCGAATAGCTCAACAAACGCTTGCAAGGCTTTTTCCAACGTGTGGTCGCAGCCGAAGAACATTACCCTCAAGCGATTCGTATCGATCTCGGAGGACAAGCAATCGAATATCGTCACGAACGCGTATACTTACGACAACTTCTGTCTGGAGTTGTCGCCAGAAAATCTGGAAAAAAATACCAAAATCCTCGAGAAAGAACCAACTCAGGATCAACGAGTTGTAACCAGTATCGCAATCGAACACGCGTATATTTAATAATAAGAAATTCGAAGAAACTTTTTTTTACATGGAGAAATAATTTGTATGTGATTTTACGATATGTTAAGTTATATATATATATATATATATATCTTTCTCTCTTCTTTGTAGAAAAATCGTATTTACAAATAATATTATGTAAGAACCGTACAGAGATACATGTATCAACTTTCGCGGATTTCTCAATCTATAATTCTTTTCTTTTCTTTAAGAATATAATATATTGTAAGTCGAACTCGTATAACCGCACCGCACGAAACGTTTATATATAAGCTCGTTTAAGAATAGCGTAGTGTAAATTCGCGAAAATTCCAATCTCAAGATGTATGAAAGTAATCGTGCGTATTGTTAAGAGAATTACTCGTTATTAAATATAATAAATGTTAGTTTCTCACTTTCACCGACTTCGCGTTTGGTTATTACAGATATTACAAATCGATATTTACAGTTCAGTGCATAAGAATAGATTATTGAGTGTGCGTCAATTCCATCTTTCCACGTTGACATTTTACTCTCTTATCAATTCCTTAATTTAATAATTCTCTTAACCCCTCAAACACTCATTTAATAAACATTGTACACGCGGCAAAGTGTCTTTCTCTAAATTGTTACATAGTTAAAAAAATAATGTAAAGCAATATACAAAGCTTAAATCATATGAGAGAATTAAAAATTGATGTTATAAACTTGCATAGATTATCAATTACAAATAAGTAACATTTCTTTTCTTTATATATGTAAAAGAAAAAATACTACATTTATGTAAATTGCTAAAAAATACACATATATACATACATATATATATATATATATATATATATATATATATATATATATATATATATATATATATATATATATATATATATATATATATATATATATATATATATATATATATATATATATATATATATATATATATATATATATATATATATATATATATATATATATATATATATATATATATATATATATATATGTATGTATATATGTGTATTTTTTAGCAATTTACATAAATGTAGTATTTTTTCTTTTACATATATAAAGAAAAGAAATGTTACTTATTTGTAATTGATAATCTATGCAAGTTTATAACATCAATTTTTAATTCTCTCATATGATTTAAGCTTTGTATATTGCTTTACATTATTTTTTTAACTATGTAACAATTTAGAGAAAGACACTTTGCCGCGTGTACAATGTTTATTAAATGAGTGTTTGAGGGGTTAAGAGAATTATTAAATTAAGGAATTGATAAGAGAGTAAAATGTCAACGTGGAAAGATGGAATTGACGCACACTCAATAATCTATTCTTATGCACTGAACTGTAAATATCGATTTGTAATATCTGTAATAACCAAACGCGAAGTCGGTGAAAGTGAGAAACTAACATTTATTATATTTAATAACGAGTAATTCTCTTAACAATACGCACGATTACTTTCATACATCTTGAGATTGGAATTTTCGCGAATTTACACTACGCTATTCTTAAACGAGCTTATATATAAACGTTTCGTGCGGTGCGGTTATACGAGTTCGACTTACAATATATTATATTCTTAAAGAAAAGAAAAGAATTATAGATTGAGAAATCCGCGAAAGTTGATACATGTATCTCTGTACGGTTCTTACATAATATTATTTGTAAATACGATTTTTCTACAAAGAAGAGAGAAAGATATATATATATATATATATATAACTTAACATATCGTAAAATCACATACAAATTATTTCTCCATGTAAAAAAAAGTTTCTTCGAATTTCTTATTATTAAATATACGCGTGTTCGATTGCGATACTGGTTACAACTCGTTGATCCTGAGTTGGTTCTTTCTCGAGGATTTTGGTATTTTTTTCCAGATTTTCTGGCGACAACTCCAGACAGAAGTTGTCGTAAGTATACGCGTTCGTGACGATATTCGATTGCTTGTCCTCCGAGATCGATACGAATCGCTTGAGGGTAATGTTCTTCGGCTGCGACCACACGTTGGAAAAAGCCTTGCAAGCGTTTGTTGAGCTATTCGACTTGCGGGAGAACTTCATTTCGATATCGTCGAGACTACGTCCTCGAGTCTCCGGCAATATCGTTAGGGCGAAGATTGCACCTAATAGACCGGCCGCGCCGAATATCCACATCGTAATCTCCAGACCGACAATTGTATTTAGATCCGGATACATTTTTATTGTGGCGAACGTCAGTATTTGCACGATGCTGGTCGTAAGACCGCCCAAGCTGCCCCTGAATCTTAACGGATACAACTCCGAGGTCATGACCCACGGTAATGTGAGGAAGCCAATCATAGACGCACCTACATGAGTCCCAATGCAGAATAGTGGTATCCACGATGGAAGTTCGAACCTGGCAAATTATAGCGAAAATATTACTTTCAAGGATAGCTAGAGTTTTCGAAGAGCAAGACTAATGAATGAATAAGAGACAGAATTAAATTAAAAATTAAATCATGTGTAATACAGAAAGAGATGATAAAAGCTGACTGTTAGAGAAGATTGAAAATACGAACCTGAGGGAAACAGCGA